TGTATCTTATCTCTATTGTTAGAAATAACATATCAAACATTCGTAATTTTTTAAAAATTTTAATTTGAAGTAGATGACTCTGTGAACAGAGATGCTATATAATATTCTTATTGAATTTGGTATACCGAAAAAGCTGGTGAGTCTAATAAAAATGTGCTTAAATGTAACCTGTAGCAAAATTCGAGTAAGTAAATATGTATCTGAGACATTCTTCATGAAGAACGGTCTAAAACAAGGAGATGCTTTGTCTCCATCGCTCTTCAACTTTATGCTAGATTACGCCATCAGGAAAGTCCAAGATAGGCAGGAGGGTTTCCAATTGAATGGGACACATGAACTATTGGTATATGCTGATGATGTTAATTTATTGGGAGACGATATAAATACAATAAGGAGGAACACAGAAGCTTAATTAGAGGCTAGTAGACAGGTGGGGCTAGAATTAAAAACATAAAATACTAAGTACGTGTTAGTATCCCGTCAGCATATAGGCGGGCAAAATCATGTTAGGGTGGCTAATAAATCCTTTGAAAGTGTGACATATTTCAAATATCTGGGATAAGTTATTGGAAGACGACATAAATACAATAAAGAGGCTAGTAGACAGGTGGGGCTAAAAGTAAATTAAAAAACTAAGTAGGGGAGAATGGGCATATGGCGGTCACTTAAGAGAAAAGGTAGATAAAACAAAAAGTATAAGCAAAGTTGAAACTTTATATAGCTGGCATTTAGTCTGAAGGGTCTACTTCTTATGTATGCAGTATAAAACACGTTGAACGTAACAAAAATTCTGTAGGAAATGATAACTGAAGACGTAGCTTTGACCGGTGTTCACCACCCTTAAGGGTAATGAAGGTCACTATTTCAGCTTCAAGATGTCACTGAAGTAAATAAGATAATGAGTGAATAAAATGTTTTCTTAGTAAGTAATAGGCATATATCTTAGTTTACAAAATGTGTACACGTCTAAATCATTTGAACGTACAAATTTTAACGGAATATTAAGATAGAAGTCTTCAATAACCTTTTTCATTTTGTATTTCTTCTTCTCAAACACGGAACACAAAGATAACCATCCGTAAATTCCCAGCCCCTGGATTCTGCATGTGCCCAGATACCACAGCCTGTGCATCTATGCCATAGTTCTCCGTCTTTTCCAAATTTTTCATAAATTAAACATATTTCACAATCTGTTTCTATGTCATTGTCTTCATTTTCGTCAAGAATATCTCTTCTGATGAAGTCCAGCTTTTCTTCAGATTCTTCCTGCAGCGTTTCTTTCTCTCATTGAGGCTTGTTTCCTTATTCTGCATTTTCTTTGAAAATATTGCTGTTTGCCTACTTCTATTTAGCTCTTACATTTCTCTTTAACGCCTTGCTTTCCAAAGAACCCTTCATTGGTGTCCCTGTCAGAATCTCCGAATGCTGCTTGCCTCTGCTTTTTCTGCAATGTGTCCGTGGACCCACCGTAGGTAATGGAAATCCTTGACCGCGTAACCTCAAACGAAAGGCGTGTTGTCGTGAAATAGCACATATTTATTCATAATTATATAAACAGTTATAATATCCAAATATCGCATGTTATGTACACCCACAAGAAAAATTCATATATTTCAAAGAAAGTTCACTCACTTCAGATATTTCAATGTAAAGTATTAGATCACTGGAGCACGAAACAAACACATGCATTTATCTCGGTAACTGAACCACAGGCAAATGGCGGAATTCGCTGTTGAACTTCACTGAATCAAGCACTGCCTTCTATCTGGTACCGTTCGTCAGAAAAGTGCCTGACCGGCATTACCTACTGACCGCCATTCTCCCGTCCTTCCCTACATGTTAGTATCTCGTCAGCAGGCAGGCGGACAGAATCATCTTAGGGTGGCTAATAAATCCTTTGAAAGGGTTACAAAGTTCAAATATTTGGGAAGAACAAAAACAAACCAAAATGACATTCATGAAGAAGTTAGGAGGAGCCTAAATTCCGGAAATGCTTGCTACTTCTCAGTTCAAAATATTTTATCTTCCCGTCTGATTTCTAAGAACCTGAAGATTAAAGTATACAAAAAAATTATTTTTCTGTTGTTTTGTATGGGTGCGAAACATGGTCTCTCACTCTGAGGAACACAGATTGCAGGTGTTTGAGAATAAGGTTTTTAGGAGGATATTTGGGCCTAGGAGAGAAGACGATGCGGTCTGGAAAAAATTACACAATGATTAACTTAAAAATTTATACTCCTCCCCCAGTATTGTCAGGGTGATTAAGTCGAGAAGAATGAGATGGGCTGGGCATGTAGCGCGCATGGATGGGACAAGAGGTGTGCACCGGGTATTGGTTGGTAATCCTGAGGGGAAGAGGCCGCTGGGGAGACCTAGACGTAGATGGGAGGATAATCTCAGGCGGGATCTATGGGAAATAGGAGTCGAAGGAGACTGGATTTTGTTGGCCCAGGACAGGATCCGGTGGAGGGCTTTGGTTAATTCGGTGATGAACCTTCGGGTTCGGTAAGCCATCTAGTTAGTTAGTTTTGATTAATGAATGTGTATGGAGTTGTGTCACTTGAAGTAATAAGACTAATACATTGTTTAAGGTTTAATCGTTTAACACCCATCGATAGTGCTCAGATTTCGACATCATTATATAAGGATTACTACAAAGACATTGTCCGGTTGTTTGCCACTTTGGTAGAAACACCAGGTCCAATAAGATATGAGTAGATTTAAAATAAATTATTAAATCGTATATGTGCTCACATACATTTTATGCAACGTATAAGTAGTAGAAAAATAATTATTGCTACAATCTCTGAGTTGTTTCTGTATCTGTTCGTAAATATAGAAAATCTGAAAAGATACAATTTTATGCTGCACATGGCCTATCCATCGTAAGGAATAAATTTCTGTTCTTTTGGCAAAGCGCGTTGTGATACAGGCGTATATAATCTTACATTCCTTTGGTTGTAGATTTGTTCTTGAGTGAACGAAAGGTAATTTGTAACTTCGCTGTAGACCCACAATGTATTCATTTATCTCTCTCATCTGGGAAACTCGGTGCGTGGTGACGGGCTACTGGCTGACGACTATGGTTCGATATCAGGTAGGGTATTTTCTCTCTACGCCGCCATGTCAGTCTGGATCTATGGCCTACCAAATTTATATTAAATGGGTGCCGAAGGATCTTTCCTTCAAGGTAAAGCGGCCGGAGCGTGAAACTAGCCACGTACATCTGCATAATATCGAGGGTAAGAATGCGTGGAGCTCTACCGCCAGTCCCACTTTCGTCTTCACGGCGTGATGCTTGGGCAGAGCAACTACTTCCTACCTTTCTAAATTAAAAAAATAAATCCGTGGCGTAACAGCCCTCTGAGAGCCAAAGTCGACCAGCTGGCTGCTGGCCTCACGTTCACATGCTTAAGCAGAGGTGAACGATCATCCGACCAGATATAGAGTGACGTGTGGACAGCACGACGAACCCCCAGCCATTGCTAGTTTTACTGACCGGATTACGCTACCCATTGTAGCTCCCCAATTTCCTCAAGATGCTGGGTTGGCACCAGTCCCATACACCGGTCGAAATCTCATGAGAAAATTCTTTCCCCGAGACTCGAACCAGCGCGCATTCCGTATCACCGGTCCGAAGCATGATGCCTCAGACCGCGCGGCTACGGCGCGGGTAATACTTCCTACCTTTCTACAAGTTGAATCTCTCGAAATTCCTACCGCTGCAATTTCTCCAGGCTTTTACCTTCACATTCAGAATTATTCGTCGTTGTTCGCTTCTACGTGCGTGTCAATATTATATTCTACAGGATGGGTATTAGTCTTTTTTACCAACGTAAATTACTTATCAGTCTGATAACACAGAAATAAAATATCTAAAAGAGTTCCTCCTTTGGAGCGTAGGCTATAGAACTGATCTTATGAGAAGATTGGACGGAAGTGTAGAAGGCTGTTAAGTTTTGTTGGTAGGGAAATGAAAGTCTAAAGAAAGGAATACGTAAGCAAAGAATAAATTTAAAACTTCTGTCGGAATGAGATAGGCCTAAACGTGAATCGCTTTCACAGCCAGTGCGAAGAAACCGAATTGGAAAGAAACAGAAAATTATAATTCATACATTTAAAGTCTCACAATAGGGTATACTCTATTCTTAACGCTGGACGCATCATAATCAATGTACATAGCGGTCTCGTTGAGCAATCAAGTCAACCCCAGATCATGTCTGATAGCCTTGTTATCTTACTGAAGACACTGTTGGCCTTTTTAATGGTTTCGAAGGAACACCCGGACTTCATGGTCATTGCTCTTGAAAATGAACTCGTTTCACTCAGTGAAACTGTTCAGTAGTATCGGTCTCTATATTTGTACTTAGAAGCAGTGCATACAATCCGAAGGCTTTAACTTTTTATGCAAATGGAGGAAATAATTTTCTCTGTACCTAGACACATGTATTTCGGAGTGAATTTAAAATAAAATAATAATTTACGTAGATGTTTAAAAGATTCAGGTAAACAGTAATCGTTGTAGGTTAAATACGTATCATTCTATATTTACTTGTAACTTATTATGAAGTGAAAATGAATGAGTGAAGGAATAAATAAATAAATTAATTAATTAATTAATTAATATCTAATAAGCATTAAATAAAAAATTCTCACAAAATGTTGGTCGGAGAACCTGCGAGAAAGGGGCCATTGGGAAGACTTGAGCACAGATGAGAGTATAATATTAAAATGTGTCTTAAATAAATAGGATGGAAAAGCGTAGACTTGATTCATCTGGATCAGAACAGGGATCATTGACTTGTTCTTGTGAATACGGTAGTGTACTTTCATGTTCTATAAAAGGTTGGCGAATATCTTGACAGACTGAAAGACTGTTCGTTTTTCACGAAGGATAATTCTTCATCTAGTAATAAATAATGCTGAAACCTGAAAATGCCGTAGAAAAATAATAAATTTGCTTGGTAATGTGAAATAAAATTTTGGTTTAAAGACTGGGACAGAAATTTATATTTTCGAAAAGTTTACTGCTGGTTTCACTTTCCAGTCGAACTGGAGAGTCACAGAATATTTTAGATCAGACTTCAGGTATGATGTCGTATCATAAATATGAGACGTTTGTTCTATCCTGATGTTTCATCATACACCGAGTCAACTTCACTGACTTGCAGAACGTGTTTTAAAGTAAATATAATTTGAGAAAAGTTCTTATTGTAGAATGAGGTTACGCAAACAATTGTTTTTGTGAGAGAGGTATCGGACAACTATTCCGGAAGAAGTGCTCTGACGCGTCACTGTACAGAAAAAATACCCTGCTTTTTAAGCAGACGGCCTACTTAGCAACATCTTCTGTCAGGTCTGTAAGAACACATTTCATGCGATATACTGACAGCAAGGACCTCTGAAATTTTGGCAAACTTCTACCAGACTACTCAGCGCTATAATCCACAAGACAGTCGCTGCAATAACCTCAAATCCTACTTACTCAGTAATCTGTTCACATTTATGTCTTAAGGTCTGTATAATTGTAGTACTATGATAACACCACATTCTAGTATTAATGAAGTTGATCAAATAATTCCAATATACATTTTAACCTAAATATGTCAAGGGCGAAATGACGTGGATCCCACATGAACAGAATTAAGTAGGAATCCGGTCCTTCGTGGAGAGAAGCAGGCGACTAACCGCCCGAGCTATGGCACAGTCATCATTGTTTAGTGAAAGTTTTATAAAACTTGACGTTTTGTCATTTGCTATAATTACAGCACTTCTGAAGCTATGTTTCAGGATATATATTTGTTAATATGTCATTTATTTATCAACATATTTACACTTGTCTTTTTAGAGCTGGTCTGCCTTCCGTTATGACCTTTACTGTCAGCTGTCTCTCACACCTAGCAACTGAAACTACGAATCTGAAACAAACGAGAGGCATATAAATATAATATAGATAGATAGGGTCAAATAATGTGCATGGACGTCTTTATGAATATTTTTCGTAGTTGTAATATCATTTTTGAACACATTTTTTAAAAGAATATTTGTTTTTGTTGTGTAGTTTCCATTATGCTTAAAGATTCTGCGGCACTGCTGGAAATGTTCCGGGAAATTTGTTCAGTCAATGTTCCCAATCAGATATTCGACTATGTAATCATTTATTCCAACTGCTTATTTTATTCATGCTAAATGAACAATCTGCTTAGAGGTGAAAACGCTTAATGATCTTTTCAAAGTAACTTTATAATATTATGTTACTTGAACCGAGTAAATCAATGGTACTCACACAACGGAAAGTCTGTGCCGGGTGTTGAACCTGGTCCTTCTGAGTACTGAAAGACTTTGTAGTAGAACATGCCACTAGATTGGTAGGTGAAAATGGACCAAGGCATGAACGTAAAATCTCTTCATTGACAGTTGGAAATTACTGGAAGTGGTTGGAGGCGGATTAAAGTCCTGGTTGCTAACTGAGAAGCGATATGTGCGTGGTCCAACAGGCCTGGATCCTGTGGGGTAGAGAATCGATACAGAAGTGTTCCCTGACATAGCGTACGGTGTTGTATGACAAGCTGACAATAGTACTGGCACGTTGGTCCTTAAGCGTGCGCATTATGTCGTAATAGGTCAGGGATGGACAGGGAAACTGCCGTACGGGACAGCATTTCAGATGCACATTATTTTATTAATAAGTCTACCTCAGTGTTTAATGATAATACCCTTTTAATTTATTTTATAATATGATGCTGTACTTCAGGGGTTGTGACGCCGTGTGGACTAGTCGTTAGTTACTCACGTTTCGGGTAAACACACTGCCTCAGTCTTTAGTTGTGAAATATGTTTCTTCGAAGCCTTGACATGTGCCTTCTAGTCTACAGAGCGCCACAACCTACATCATCTTAACCGCCGTGAGAATTTCAAATTTTATAACATGTACACGCTTTAATTATTTTTCCTTCGTATGCACGTTCGTTAATGTTGGAACCAGCCGTTCCTTATTATTAAATGTTATCATAGTTTCACAAAGAAGATTTAGCTCAAGTGGTGACGTGTCCTTTATTTGGAGAGTAACAGGACCGATTCCTACGTGGATACCAGCTATAGTGATTGTCGTTTAATGCGATTTTCGTCAGTCTGACCAGAAAAAAAGCATAATTTTTTATTCCTAGGAATAAGAGAAAAACGGCTCCCTTCCCAATAATTTCCAGTTTATCTTACATAGTCATAATTAAGCATCTTGTTTGATGCTAAACACTGTTGTCAGGTGGTAAGGCGTTGTTAAATAACGTGTAAGTGAACAAAGAGACTATTTAAAAAAACTGGCTCCCTCAGGTCATAATGAACGTGTCCGAAATGTATGCGCGCGTACTCGAATCTCGCTTTCATTTAGAACGTGTAATTTATTTACAAGCACAGAATTTGGTACAGAGAGCGGTTGTGATAATGAAATCACAAAAAGAATGCAAAATTTGCTCTCCCACTTAAACTTTTAAATGACGAAGACCGTTTCAGTAGCCTAAGCTTTGTTTGTTTTAGCGTACTTACATAATTCAGTATATGGACAGAGAAAGTTTTGGTGTCATTTCTTCGAATGTCTCTGAATAACCTGCAGTGAAAAAGGTAGCAAATTTTCATGAAACGTGATACGCAAACATGACATAGAACATTAAACTCGCCACATTCATATTTAATAGAACCCTACCTGAAATTCATGTATTGTGGGTCCCTTGTTACCACGACATGGCGCATCCTCAGGTTGCAGATGGAGGAGAAGGCCCCCAGATATTGAGGGTAGCTGCGAATATGTTGAATAAGCAGTCGTGGATAGCCGACAGGGGGTGGTCCTCCAGCTTGAGATTTGAACATAGGACTAACAACTCCTCACCGTATAAATAATAACTAGTTACAAAATGAAGATTTCTGTCTTCTGGGTTGTTGCGCTGTGTAGTCTGGTCGATGTTAACCAACGTTTCAGAGGTCATACTGCCTCCGTCATCAGGGCGATGAGTATGAAGATTTCTGTCTTCTGAGTTGTTGCGCTGTGAAGTCTGGTCGATGTTTACCAACGTTTCAGAGGTCATAAAAATGTTGTTAGATGATTTCAATGCCAAAGTAGGTAGAGAGGATATTTTGAAACCAGTGGGTGGGAACGAGAGTTTACACGAAAACAGTAGTGATAATGGAGTTAGAGTAGTATATTTTGCCACATTTCAAAATTTAATTGTTAATAGCACAGTGTTCCTATATCGCAGCATTCTGAAATGCATTCCTGGCAAAAAGACACGTAGTCAGATTGACCACATTTGGATGGATAGGAGACAGCATTCAAATGTACTTATATCCGATCTTTTAGGGAGCAGACTGTAATACCGATCATGTCTGGTGGTTGCGAAAGTTAGGGAGAGACTGGCAGTAAGTAAACGAGAAACGAAAAATTCTGATATGGGGAGATTCAAACTCAAGAAACTACAGGAGGTAGAAGGTAAATAACAGTATCAGCTTAAAATATTCTTCTCTCAAGGTTATGTCCATACGTAGACGAAATTATTGGGAATCATCAATGTGGGTTTTGACGTAATAGGTCAACTACTGATCAGATTTTTTGTATTCGTCAGATGATAGAGAAGAAATGGGAGTACAATAAGAGAGTACATGAGATATTCAGAGATTTAAAGAAAGCGTATGATTTAGTTAGAAGGGAAGTATTTTACAGTATTATAATTGAGTTGGTACACCCATGAAACTAGTTAGGCTTATTAAAATGTGTTTAAATGAAACCTTGTCGTGGTGAGGGGGCTCAGTAGTTCCAAGGATCCAGAGAGCGATGCCAGCGGGAGCAACTGTTCGTGGTAGGGTCACCCTTGATGGTAAGGTCGATGGTGAGGAGCGAAGCTAAGATCAATCCTGGTGGAGGGCAGCAGTAACCATCAGTACTGGTTTTGGGCGGAGAAGGAAGCCTTAAGAACAGCCTAATTCCAGGATATCATAGGCGGCAACCATAGATGGTTTCTACGGCTGTGATGCTGTGATGGGGAAGGCAACGAGAAACCAACTCATTATTTATTTCTCCAGGATAATCGTGGATAATGGCTGATGACAAAGCCGACATGATCGTCAACGATCAATGGCGGTCATAGCACCAGAAAGAAAAATATAGAAATGTGAATGTAGGTAAACATTTGTCTGACACGTTTCCTATTCAGAATGGTCTAAAACAAGGAGATGATTTATCGCTATTGCTTTTCAGCTTTGCAAAATTAAGATATTTAGGAGCGAAAGTAGCAAATCAAAATTTTCCACATGAGGAAATTAAGAGCAGAATTAATTTTGGTAATGCTTGCCACCATTCAGATTAGAAACTTCCTATCTGCTGCCTAAAAACATAAAGATTAACATTTAACAATTACAAAACTATAATATTACCTGTAGTTTTGTTTGGATATGAAATTTGGTCTTTGACACTAAAGGAGGAATGTAAATTGATGGGTTTAAGACCCCGGTGGAGAGGAAAATATTGGGACTTAAATGGGGTGAATTACTGGGAAGCTGGAGAAAGTTGCATAATGAGGAAATTCATGAGATGTACTGCTCGCCGAATATAATTAGTCTGATGAGGTCAGGGAGGATAAGATGGACAGGGCATGCATGGGAGAGAAGAGGAATGCATAAGGGTTTTGGTGGCCAAACCAGAAGGAGAGACGACTAGGAAGACCTAGACGTAGGTGGCAGGAGAACATGAAAATGGATGTTAGAGAAGTAGGATAGGGTGATATGGACTGGATTAACCTGGCTCAGTATAGGGACCAGCGGTGGGCTCTTCTGAACAATGTAATGTACTTCGGGTTCCGTTGGAAAATTCTTGGGTGGCTGAGCGACTGTTGGCTTCTCTCGAAGGACTCAGCACCAAGTACTCTACCAGTAATATTCTGAGACACGATCAGGCAATGTTAGGTTATGGATTAGTGATTGAGTAGGCTTATACGTTTTGGTGGTATGCAACCTTTATGTAGGTAATCTTTGTTCGAAATAAAAACTTTGCGACTTGGCAAAAGTACAAATAGGGTTTTCGCTTCATGATTTTCCCATTAAACCTTCGCACATAGGTATGTGAATTAAATAAGGAGAGAGGGTTAAAACACACTATATTTGTAGAAATTACTTTTGTTTACGAAAACCATCAAAGCAACCACAGCAAGAAATTTTCAAATTGTCTTTGAAATTTAAAATGGTTGATATTTGGTACAGAATGAATAATTTATAGTAGTTAGAATATTTTTTATATATGTCTTTATTAAGAGACTTTTTGTTCAGATGCGAGCATTTAAAATTAATTATTTCACATAAATTCTTGTTCAAGTATTTAGCTTCAAAGAATAGTTATGAATTCTGTATTTAATAGGGGTCTAGTTTGCCCCAAGTTTTAAAGTTTGAGCGTCATCTAATTACTACTTAATAGAATAATATAAGAAGTATACATCTGTGTGACGTCGGCAGTCATTTACTTTTATGAAGAAATACCAGACGTTACACAGAAAGGGATATAAGTAACTGCCGTTAAAACACATTTAGGAAACGAAGCTAAAATTAGAAAAATTTATGCGTGATTTAATCACCCTTACAATGTCAGGTGAGGGGTACAGGCAGTGAAGTTCATCATTATGCAATTTTCTTGATGATCCGTCTTCTTCCCGTTTGGGTTCAAATATCTTCCTCAAAACCCTGTTCTCAAAGACCTTCAGTCTGTGTTCCTCCCTCAAAGTGAGAGACCAAGTTTCGAAATCATAAAACACAACTGGCAGAATTACACTTTTGTATATTTTAATCTTTAGTTTTCTTTTGATATGAGACGGGAGGACAAAAGATTTTGGACTGAATTATTGCAAGCATTCTCCGAATTTAATCTGCTCTTGAGTTCGTCATGAAAGTCATTCTGACTTTTTAGTGTCGTTCCCAAGTACTTGAATTTTGTCACATTTTCGAACTATTCTTTAATCTGGTTCTGTCCTTAATTCTGATGCCGAGACATCATACACTTCGTCTGTTCTGTATTTATTTCTAGACCAACATCCCTGCCAGCCATTATGAGTGTTTCTGTATTCGCTTGTATAATATTTATATTATCGCCCAACAGATTAACATCATCAGCATAGACCAAAAGCTGATGTGTCCCATTCAATTGCAAACCCTGCTGCCTGTCTTTGACTTTCCTGGCTGCATATTCTAAGGAAAAATTGAAAACCAGCGGCGAGAGAGCATCTCCCTGTTTCAGGCAATTCTGAATAGGAAATGTATCAGACATATGTTTACCTACACGAATTTTGCTAGTGGTTTTACTTAAACGCGTTTTAATTAGCCTGAATAACTTTTTAGGTACACCAGATTCAAGCAAAATATTGTAAAGAGCTTCTCTTTAACTGAGTCATAGGCTTTCTTGACGTCTATAACTAGTTAACTGACTGTCCCATTGCATTTCCACTTTTTCTGAAGTATCTGGCTAATGGAGAAAATATGATAAGAATCTGCCCGTCACACACAACAAAAGTGTTTTCTTCAACATCAGAGTTTGAATTTAAAAAGCTGTAATGCAACAGATATTATTATGTGAATTAGAGTTTTACTTTCATGCAAAAGTTAACATGTTACCGTAAGTGTATTTCAAAGATATTTTAACTGTACAGATTGTCGAATATTGATACCATCTTTATAGTTTTTATCACAATTACAACAAGATTCTTATATTTTAATTGTGTTTTATTGAAGCATGAACATAACCACACAACAGACCAAAAAACATCGATCAACAATTTTTAATACACTACAAATATTTTTCTTACTTTTAAAATTTTGGGATGGTTTTGACAGTTAGTGTACTGTGTGATGAAATATTTGTTCGCGTTGCACTGTAGGACTGAGGATTCAATACATCTGTCGAACTTCCCTCTGATTTGAATTCCTCGTCCGAAACACAGAAGGCATTAAGAGAGAATGAACTGGGTGTATTCATTGAAATTCCGAACGCGATCACGTAAACATTTTGTGGCAAGGAGCGGTGGAAGGTAGAGTAGGAGGCAGCGAGCAATGCGCTGTAACTACGTCTTTTTACCAATAAATCACTTGAGGTGGCGTAGGACGGATCACGGAGTTACCTCCGCGTGATTTTCTAATATATTTTCTTTACTTGAAAGTAAGATAACTTTTTTCTTCTTTTAAAGGACCACAAGCCATTCTGTAATACCTTTCATGTACAATATGCGTATCTTATTCCGTCTAACGATAAAAGGGAGATTTAAATCTGAAGTAGCTGTCCAAACAGATGCAACTTATAGGCTCATAACATATTTCTTAGTAATGTAATTTCATTGTGGACCTAAATACTAAAGTTGAAGTTCCTCACGAAAGTAATAGAAATGATTTCAGTATTAGTAGCGCAATATTGGGGTTGCGCAGTGATTGAAGAAACATTCAGTTTCAATTATATTGTGCAAATAGACCTGTGTCAATATTTATTGCACTGTCTAGTGTGAATTTTGTGCATTATCAGTTCTAGGTCTGTTATCATGAAAGGCACATCAAGAACTAGGGAGTTCCGCTCAGTGTTTGAGGTGTAAATTTCAAATCTTCAAATACTTATCCAGTAGTCAGAAAGCGTAAAATAGTCTTCGGCTACGGGGTTTGGAATTTCTTATGTCTGTGTCCTCTCTTGCTTTAAAGGGGGCAAACATTTGTAATAAACCATTATGTTGAAACGCCCAATGCACAAAGAATTCGTATAATCTCCTGGTTAACTTATTTGTAATTGCTTTAACAAATTCTCATGAATAAGTGTATGTTATTCCTTGAACCACTGTTTTATCCTTCGCCTTTTCTTCGTTTCCTTGGCAACAACACTTAACTCCAAAATACTGAAACATGCCGTTTTAGTACTCATTGTTTATTTCAGTTAACTGTAGAAGTCACTATTACAGAACGGAGTTAATGCAGTGATTATTGATAGTGCAAAATATTTATTGAGTAACTGTGCAATTAGTATTGTAAGTTGCTGCAGCCCTGTAAATGCGTGGGAAAGGGTGCGATAGTTAACGTAACGCGAAGGAAAGGAATTTTCAGTTCTTTATGAAAGCAAATGTTGAAAGAATTAGAGTTTTATAGAGCTTACCTCTAACCCGAACGTTATTTGGCGTATTATGCGAGATTTGTCACTCTTATTGAGTTTATAATTGAGGTTAAATTGTAAGATTCATGGTATTTTTGTCCATTTATTTTAAGTTAATCTTATTTAAAAACGTGGCAGAAGAATTTGCGTAATTTACTTCTAAACTGCGGCTCGACAAGCCACCTATAAGTCGACGGTACAAGCTCAATTGTAATTGTGACAAGCGACGTCTGTTAAAGTTTGGTCTGAGATTGTGGTAACGTGGTTTATCCTAAGAGTTTGGAGATGGAGTTAATTTCTCTTGTTTGGGAAATTTTCACCTGGAGGACTGTTGCCGGAAGTTTTTATTTCTCAATCTATTTAATGTAACATTTGGGTTTTTTCAGGATACAGGTTAGGTCGTGTCCTTGGACCTTCCGCACTGGAGTGTAGGTTCATACGTATATACCCTACTAGATTGATAGAAACTGTCTAGCTAGTCTCACATGTATGTTTATTCACTTCGCTATAAAATATACATATGCTACATACAACCTAAAAGTTTGGTAAAGAAATCCGTTAGTATGTACTGCTCAAACTACGTACGTCATACTGAACACCATTAATAGAAGACTGATTCCACGTGATACGTCTGCACGTGTTTCTCTCTGGCGGAACTTGTAGTAATTGAATCTCTGTATTATAGTGATACATTGCCTGTCAAAGCATCTGTGTTTGATTGATCGATGGCGGCCATCTTATTTTTTATGCGTTTCGGGAAGAACTGGAATCATACCTATTACTTTCATTATTGATAATATCACCCCAAGGAAGTATTCTACATTTCCCTGCGTAACTTAAATTTCTAGAAGGGTTAAAGGAAGTTTCAGTTTCTTAAAACTTGAATTGTGAAAGAACCAAAATGGGTTCGATATTTATAAAGTAAAAAGAAAGCGTTATGTTTATTTTGCATTTAGCATGACAGAAAGCAATGTAAAATTTAGCTGAACTGTCGACTATGTATAAATCGACCCATAAGTCTGAATGAGCTACTTAAAATTAGGAATATTTGTACTTTATTAAGATCGATAGACATATAAATCTTCCTACTCAGTTCCTACCTAGAATATAATTTTTAGGTACAATATTTAAAACTTTCAGTGGTGTGCAATGAACCACTTAACGTTAAAGAAAGACAGTACAATGATTATAATAATAAAGCGAGGAGAGACGACGCAAAAAAAAAGAGTTGTAAATTTCTAATGGGAGAGAAATAGGTTACAATTAATAATGTATTCTACAGTTATCAAATGTAGGAGGAAAAAAGTATAAAAGTTAAAGAAGGCCTCAGACACGATTGTAAGCGACCTTTAACACCTTTTTGCCCATCTATTTTCCTGGAAAAATCAAGAAGACGCACTATGCACACGAGAGACAGAACACGAGAAAATACATATTAGTAAGCAAAAGACCAAGTTCTATTTAAGGTATCATAATTTTTCATATTTTATATTTATGACAACTAATGACATGAGCGTCAGTAATAAGTGCAAGCTGGGAGTTAACATAAAATATTGCCGCTAGCAATGACAATGGCAGTATTTTCTTCATAAATACCTTAGTAAATAATTCTTTGAGTTGTTTCTTCTTCCCTTGCAACAAACAGAAAAACTGCCATCTCTGCTCCCTCCGCGATCGGCCGTCGCTCCTAAAACGGCAGGACAGATTCCACACTCTTCTCCTCCGTACAAAGTTGGCGGAACACTATAAAACTGACAATTATTTCATTACTGCCGCGATAAACATGCGAGGTGAAAATAGTGCCAATGAATTATTAAAATTCAGACACTTGTCTGTAACAGCCGTGCATGACATTTGTTTTCTATCACTGCACAAATTAGCGAGTGAATTATTCGGCATGTACCTTCTCCGTTGTTCACACTGCAATGACATCCGTTGTTGTTCCTTGGATACTTGATACCTCGTCTTTTCTCCTAAACCATTCAACTCTCTTCGCTTTACCTCATTCTTACCGTGGCTGTAATCCGTAACCTTGAAAATATATTTTCTGCAGTCACCAAATTTTTGTTTTAAATTTTTGTCGTAATCGCAATAACAACAACTACATAACGTTTAAATACCAAGTGGATAATCAATATTGTTCATTGACCTTCACAGTCACCATGATTAGATCTGTCTGCTGGCACACAAAACTGACAGATAAGGAAAGTAAACCAATAGAAAATCACAAAGTCTAAACAAATTGTGCTAAGAACAATACGCGAAATTTTGTTTTATATCTTATTATTTTATTTAGTGTTCTGTCTGACGACAAGTCCATATGAACAGGATCCTTCCATCCTTTTCTCGGACTGGGACCTGTTCATATACGTTCTTGGCAGATGATCCAGAAGTGGTTTGCCGTTGCCTTCTTCTGTGTGTGAATGGAGTAATTGTTGGGATGCCACGGAGAAATCGGGGAAGCTCCCGGAGGAAAACTCCGTGTTGCCTAGACCACGGCCTTGCCCAACACAAGTTACAAATTCGGACTTTAAATCAATTCAAGTGAGATATATCGGCTTCATTGGAATACTTTTTCATATTTCATTATCCTTCAGGGAATAATGATTTGCACAATTTTTTTAATTTTTATGAACTTGAAAGTGTCGCCATATTTAAATTCCCATACGACTGTGTATTTTTCTGGTACGAAAGATAAATTAAAAATTAATTACATAACATTACGCCTTTTATGTCCTCTTCCTATTCTAGAGGTCAGCGTGTCTCTGTGCCAGTTGTTACAAACAGTGCTTTCGTTTTTGTCAGGCGAAAGCTGTGGCAGCCTTACAGTAATATAACCTTTATCTCCGCTATAAGAACAGATGTTTGTTTTGCAGCTTCAGCTACTGTTATGCACATTCTCCGTCTTCAATCATTCAACGCTGGATTATCACGCTACGAACTACCTGTCTGTGAAGAAACGTATAAATAGTCTCTGTTAAGAAACTCTTCCCATATGTCAGACAAGTTTAAAAATACACAACCTCTTTACGCAACAGTTGGTGTCACTGCCCTGCAGTCATTATAATAGACAATGTGTTACAATTCAAGATGAAACTCATTCAGTACAGACAGTTTAAGTCACTTAAAAATGTGCTTAGCTCAAAGATTATGATATTCTATGAATGTCTGAATTTGCCTGATTTTATATACATATTTGGCCTACATATCGAGAATGGTGGTACAGAATGAAGTGTAAGTTTCATTCTTAAGAACACTGAAAAACCCATAACACGCATGTTTCTGCGGTAGGGTCTGAAAACAGTAACTGGTTCTCACATTATTTAACGATGTTGTTTCAAGTGCAGAGATTTTCAGTCAAATGAGGTGTCAAGATGATAAGCTGTGATAACCTATTTGGAAGGAGACTGTTTAAGGCAAAATTCCAGCACTCATTTGGTGACATTGAGTAAAATCACGACATAATTGGTATTATTGTCGAACGTTATTACCAAGCACCTCCCGAAATCCTCACTGATAATAACCGATAATTTCATCTACGTAGGCTAAAGCGTTAATCTTGGCAGGTAAACATTGAAATTATTTGATTATTGCTATAACAAGTTTTATCGCCCTTTTTAAAATAGGTGCAATAATAGAATTGACAGGTCTTTATTGGGAAAACAAGTTGGCATATTTAGAAAGTGTTTAAGTCGAACCAGTAGCAAGATTTGAAGCCTTCACGGTGATCGAAAGCAATTATGCCTTCTTGGGCGATCAGCCGTTTAAGTATGGAGTCCCAATCTTACCCTGATAATGGACACAGACAGTCTCCGAAAAGTTGGTTTCTAACTCCGTTCTTTCATGGATGATCGCCCGAGACTTAATTGAAAAGTTCCTTTTCATGCAGCATTTTCTATTCGGAATGTGCTCGAACAAACAGCTTTTGAACTTCGCTTTGAAATACGCCATTATTCATGCAAAACAAATTCAGAAGAGACACAATAGCTTCTGATCTATACTCATGATGGGCGAAACAATTTATATCAGAAAGAAAAACACAAAACTTTATTAAACCCTAGCGAGGAAATTGGTCTGAAAGCAATAATGTGTTTGTCACATCATTAGAAATCACAACGAAATATCGATGTAACAATGTGTGAATACAGTGAATGAGCCCTTGGAAAATGTGACAACATTTATGTGTTTAGGAATGACAGTAAATAATCAAATTGCATTCTGGATGTTCCATGCGTGCTACATTTCCTGATAATCCCAGTCTTCTTGATGTCTCCCTAATAACATTTGAAAGTTTATAGTTATGAAGCTTCGATAGGATCCTCCCCCTCCTAACTTTAGATAATTTCAAAGCTCTATATCCCCTCTCCATCGTATTCTCACACACACTCAATTTATGGTCTTTACTTAAGTTAAAATACCTAGTTTGACACCCACACACATTATTGACTCTGTCAATAGCTCAGATTATGTAGCTTCTTATGAAATGGGAGGAACGTAAAAAGAGAAGCGGTCTTGATATAAGTTAAAGTCCTATCCATGTAGTTGCATAAAGAGACTGAGGAAAACCATGAAAGGCCTCATTTAGAAATGCCAATCTTCGGTCCGAGATTTGAACCCGAGCTCTCCTGAATACGAATCAGGAGTGATAACCACTCAATCGAGGATTTTGTTTTTTCTTGAATGTAGTTCCTTAGCACGACTGCTTGAGGAATGATGACGTACATTTAAGTCCTAATAGTAACTGGCCCTTGTCAGTTTCATAGCCACTGAATCATCGTCCTATTGCCGAAGAAGGTTGGAGACCTTTGCTGTATATTTGGCACTGTAAAACATCTGTTCACTGCAACGAACTCTATATAGCACGTGGAAGCCGATGACACTCCAGGGCGAAACCAACTGAAGGGAAAATACTCTGAGTGGCTGCTTCCAAGTCGATAGGAGCAGAGACCTGAACGTATACAAACTGGGTCCGGAGCTAATTACCCTCCTTAGTTGGCTCTTTGTGTGGAAGGAAAGCATGAAACCCTGTTCTCAGTGCCCATTAATATTGAACTCTTGTTTAGAGATTAATGGCAAAATACATATTATGGGAACAGGGAAATCATATCTGGTTCTCTGTCATTTAGATTTCATGGATAGCAGAATGTAAATATACCAGTGGGAAGCTTGCGTCGTGATTACAGAACTACAATAACAAATTTCTTGGAAATTATCCATTGTTCAAATTATAATTAAAAACTACGTTTGGGGATGGGGACTAGATTTCTCGATTGGGCCCAACGAAGTAGATTTTACCTGGGGAGAAAGATAAATTTCGGTCTCCGAAACGGCATTTTAGTTAAAATTAGATTGTTGCATTAATACGCCATCGTCACAAACCTTTATTTTTAATGATCATCGAATGTCTGCCCAAATATTTTCCTTTCTGAGTAAAGGAGACAAAAACAGTGGTGACATAGTTTTGTTCTGAAGTGTTTGCTTCGAAAGATATGTGTATTCTGAATTAAACATTTCGATGTCTTTCAGTGATGCTATTCAAGTACCGCATAAGTTTTCGTAAAAAGAGTAAGGTAGTATTGACAAACCTGATTTTGAAAATGTCTGCTGTTGTGTTAAATTCTTTGTGATAGCCTAGTTAATTGATGTTTTATTTTAGTGTCCAGAAATAAAACTGTACTGAAACCATACTTCAGCAACAAATATTTCACTTCATAAATAATTTCCTTCAGTATCAGAATTCAAGATAACTACTGTTACAAACTCATAATTTTATTAGACGATGAATCGCATAGAGATTATGAGACAATCTAGACGTTATTTATTCAGATACATAAAATGCTAATGATAATACTGGGATAGACCCGTTCTTCAAGTGCCTGAGCACTGCGGGTCCCAACTTTTCGTTGGCTTGATCTAAGGACATTCGGTAGGACTCCTTGGACGAGGGATCGGCCCGTCGCAAGGCCTCTACCTGTACACAGGACAGCACAACACAGAAAAACGCGGACATACAACCATGGCTTGAGTGGGATTCGAATCCAAGGTCCCAGTGACCGAGCGGCACAAGACCCACCCCTCAGACCGCGCGGCCACTGCGGACCCCTTCTAATGATAATAGACGTCCTTTATATAAGCACACACAAACACACACACGCAAATATATACATATATACAGAGCGATTCCGCATTAAACGTACATATTTTAATTGTTAGTAGCACAAGATAACAACAAACAAACACAATTTTCATTTTAACGCGAGTCCGCAAATTCTTAGTTTTCAAGTTGGAGTCCGTCTTAATGCTGAAATTTTGACTGGCAAAGCGCCTGGTGAGCATAACTAGTGACAGTACTCACTGCACTGCAGTACGTCAAATTGCCTCCCGCTCAGTGGTGGCGCATACTATTATTACTGCAACGTCGTTCACAAAAGGAGCATCAGAAGTGGCTCTCATCATAGTCACCATCTGTGTGACTGCACTAACTTCCCTTCTGCGCTTGATGGCTGGCAAGGTCTGAGGCCTGTCACTTGTGCTGTTGAAGATTGGTGAGGTTAAAGACTTTCGTCGACACAGAAGTTATTGCAGCTGGAAAGTGACCGTGACTAACGACATGTGGTGCACAACTAATGCTCTGTTTTCGTACGAAGTTTCAATAATAATGCCACCACTGTGTGGTAGGCAATTTGACGTACAGCCGTGCATCGTGTGTTCAGCAACGACATTCTTTGTCCTTCAAAGTGCAGGATAAAAAAGGGCCCAAACTTGAAAACAGAGGATTTGCGGGCCCATGTTTATATGAACGTACATAAATAATTTTGACACACAGTTCACCTCTAAATTTGTACGTCGAATATTGAATGACTCTGTATGTAAATACATGTACAATTTTCGTGAGATCGCATCAAACTTGACACTTATCCGGAAGAGGCAGAATTTCCCCCTTTCTTCGTATTTAAGTCCTTCTTGAGGAGACAAGAAGCGCTCGAAATATTGAAACGCGTGTCGCTTATCCTTTTCTTTCAACAAACTGAAATGCAGAGTTCTGTAAGGCATAGGCGTAATCAGGGCATCACTAATAGATTAAGTGAAACAGATTTGCTGCCTATTTAGGAATTTTCTCTGGTGCCTGATTTTGATCAAATGAATTATATAAATATTTTGATATAAAAACATCGACTTTCATTTCTAGAGCTTCAATATGGGTGCAAATAAGTTTTTTTATGGTTTATTTAACGATTCTGTCAGTAGCTCGCTATGTGGCGT